GGGCGGAGTTCAGCATGGCCAATATATTCCCTTAAAGAGCGACTCATACTCTTCCAAACTTGACCCGCCCTCCTAGGTGATTTTTGAAGGAAGAATTATAAACATGTGGGGGACACTTGCGAATTTTTGGGGAGCGGTCAGACAAACAAACTCTGGTTTATGTATGATAGTTACTAAAAATTGCCTTCAGCCTTACATTTCTTGCAAAACGATCCAATAATATCACATAATCGCAGAATGTATGTAAATATTAATCACTTATGTAGAAGCCGATACCGACTGATTTGAATTTTAATTTGATTGAAAGTGATCAAATGGTGCGATGTCGTGATGAGAAGGAACCATAATCCATTTTCAAGAACCCAAAAAATGGAACCCTCATTCTGCTGACTTTATACGAATTAGCGCTTCAGATACTGAACGCATGGGTAAATAATCCCCAACAGACAGGGACGAAGAGATCAGGTGGTGCGGCTGTTTGGAATGAAGAGCTTTGTGAAATGAAAATTGAGGGACAACGATAGCGATTTCGCTAAAGTCAACAGCCACTTAGGTTGGTGTCAGAATTCGCTACAATTCGAGGCGTACGGCAATGCGCCAGCGTTGCGACCTACCCAGAAGCGAATTTAGTTGTTGGTTCGCTGGCGCGTCGCTCCTGGGAACACGTAAAGCCAGAAAGCGCTTAAAAACGAAATGAAGATCTAAGAATTCGGAAAATAACATTCATCTAATCTCACAATGTAGTGGATGAGATTGAGTACGTGGCGCATTCTGGGGTAAGTTTTGAGGCCCTTCTTTGTGTGTAGCGGTCAGCCCGCATAAGCGGGATTATATACACATCACATGCGAGCAACTACTTTTTGAGATGAAAATTGAGTGCATGGCGCAATCCAGTGTAGTGCCGCTAGAAAACTTTAGGACGATTCTTATACATAGATAGATCTTATAGATCTTCTTATGGATAGAGAGATTATAGACGAGCTGAGTTCAATGCTGTTTTCAGATTTTGAAAATCTTAATTTTAACCGAGTTATAACGAAAAAACGAAAAAAACGCGAAATCGCGTTTTTCGCGTGGTTTTTGATTTTTTACGGCGAGTACCGTAGTTTTCCTTCGCGAAACCTCACACGCCCTTTCTCGCAGCGTGATTACCGCCCTTACCGAAGTATGAACTTTCCTTGTGCGAACAATCTTTGCAGCCACTTCCTTTAAGCATCTTTCTAACTCACAAATTCTTCTATGATGCCTTCGACGGGAAGTACCTTAAAGTCAAAAAGGGAGAGTGTGAATTGTAATGATGAGGTAATTTCAGAGCTCAGAAATCCAGGACTACGGTGCAGATGAAGAGTGGGAGGCATTCAGTAATCCTGACGGTCAAAAAAAGAAGCCGGTCGTAGTTCCAGAGCAAGCTGGAATCTTGCCCACGTCCATATCCATGCCAACTCCTACAACGCTCTCTCCAGAAATCGATGCAATACCCATTGAGGCGATGACCTCTTCAGGAGAAGATGAGAAGGCTACGACGATGACAATGCAAAAATCATCTCCTATAGTGATAGAAGAAAATCTGGCTGAATCGTTGTCAGATGTGTCATTTGGTTCGGAAGAAGGGCAGGTACAAGAGCGGACGACAACAATCGCAACCACCACAACAGCCGCAGCCAACTTCAACGAAGATTTCAAGACAGCTGTAAAAGAACAGCAGGAAGAGATACTTAGATCAAGGAAGAAACAGCAGAAGGAGAAGAAGAAAGGAAAAGAGGCTAGTGAAGCCACGGAAGAAAAGGAAAAGAGCGAGGAAAGTGGCGATATCGAGAAACCAGCTCTCCTAGACCCAAGCACAAGATTACTGAGCTCAACTCTGACACCATAAAATCAATAGAAAGAGAAATGAAGAAGAAACGAAAGAAATTGGTGAAAAAGACTAAAGCCGGCGGAAAAGACAAAGCCGAAGAAGTGGAAAAAGAGGAGGAAGAAGAGACTGAAAAAGTGAGCAGGTCGTCTTTGGGAACGTCAGAAGAAAGCTTATCTCTAGAGGATAACAGCAAGAAAAAACTTGGTGAGAAGAAAGAGGAGAGAAAGAAAAAGAAGACGAAGACGGTTGAGAGGACAAGCACTGCTGGCGAAGGTGACATTCAGGGTATTAGCGAGGCCTTCAAGCAAAATCTCCGACAGACAATCGAATCAATTTCAAAGGAGTCCACAGAGGAGAAAGGAAGTAAAGAGAAGGGCTCAGCAGAAGGTTCAGAAGATAGTGATGATACAGGGAAAGGTCCAAAAAAGCAATCCCATAGTGTCGATGAAGGCAAGGTTGAAGATCAGGTTGAGAACGAACCATCTGGTGCTGGAGGGCAAATCGATGACGGTTCTGATGAATTATCCACAGCAATACCAGACTACTCGGTAGAAACCAGTGGCCGACAACACTAGTGTTACGACGATCAAAAGCAAGAAAAGGCTGCAAATAACGAAGAAGATACCTGTAGAAAGGCAATGGAAAAAGAAGCAGGAGGAAGATGAAAATGAAAACGTGATCAGTGACGAAGTGGAGGAACCGATGGAAGTGACGACGACCGAACCTGAAGATAGCAGTAGCGATGAGGAGGAAACGGAAAGAGAGATTGAAAAGGTAGGAAATGTTCAAATTTGTACGAAAAAAAGATTCTTCATTGGGAAAAAGTTTTCAGAAAAAGCTGGAGAAAAAGCGTAGAAAGAAGGGGAAACGAACGGAAACTGAAGATGAAATAGAAGAAGGCAGCAGCACTCCAAAAGCACCCACACCACCTATAAGAATAGGAGGATATGATGCCAATGTGAGTTATTAGTTAGCTTCAGCTTGATTGAAAATGGCCAACTGCGGCACTTTGGTGAAAAATTGCGATCATGAAAGCTGTCGATTTTTCCCTCTGCACGGTTCAACTCAAAAAAATCATCTGAGTGATTAGGATGCAGACCGAAAATTTTACCAGTTAGGAGGATTGACTGCTAGCTCGGATTTCAAGACTACCACGAACGTTAAAAATCACAGTTGTAAGTTCTCTAACATGTATATGAGGGCGGAAGTGGTGTAGTGGCAAGTGGCACGCTTACCACGCGAGCGGTCCGGGGATCAAATCCTGGGTCGTGAGTCGCCCGGGCCAACCAAGCCTTCCATCCCTCCGGGTCGGTTAATTGGTACCAGACTTGTCTGGGAGGATAAAAACACTGACTTGAACATCGGCTGGCCCCCGCAAGTCATTGTATAGGCCATCATCGCAAAACGCCACTACGAATGTACAAATGGAAGTAGAATGCGTGCCGCATCCCAAAAAGGGATTGATCAAGCTTCATCCGTTGTCCTTTAATATGTATATGGGAGCAGAGAAGGGGACGGTGTGACGGAGGGATGCTACCGCATCCTCTACTTCGAGAAAACGAACATTGTGCAAAAGCTCGCCGAGTCCCTTCAGGATGCGATATGCCAGTCGACTTTCATTCCGAAAAACCAAAGACATTCGACGTTTTTAAATAACTTCTTGAAACTTCCGTCCAAACTCTAATCGCGTTATTACTCCTTTCAACGTGCTCGTAATGACGCGACTGCAACGAAAAGCAAGAGAGGGTGAGCTGAAACTTCCTTTTTGATGAAAGCGACTCTCAATCACTGATCAGCTCTTACTAGAAACATCTACTGCATAATCGAATGATCTATACTGCTAGCACAGTTAGCCATGAAAACCAGTCGGTAGTAAGCTACCCTTAACTCCTAATCGGAGGTAGTAATTGAGGGCCCTTATCATGGAATAAGGAGTAAGACAACCGCGAGTCAACCCTGGATCGAACCACGAGGTCCCTAATTTATTTGAGAACTGCAAGTCAACAAAAGCAAAACAGAAACGTCCAAAAAGCTCAAAAAAGGCTGCACAAAGCAGCTGAATAACATGTAGGATTGCAACCTGATTCCTACTTGCAAGGAGCTATTAAAGAATGAAAAAAATCATTATATGAGGAGGCGGCAGATTACCACCACGTCCACGTAACCCTCCATAGAAGTTCTCTGCGGAGTACTACTTGGTAGACGGTCAAGCATTGCGGTCGCGGTCTCGCTCAATCCCTCCCTCTCTTCTTTCTCTGCCTATTTTACTATATAGCAGTATAAGTTATCTGCTTTGAGAGCACTTAAAGGCATCAGCGGAGTACATGAAAGGAAGCATATGCACCACACGAGCGCAAGTTACTTGGCTGCCAAAGGGAAGCGAGGATGTGGACTTTCCACGGCGAAAAGTGCGCTGGTTGCTGAGCAGGACTTCGAAAAGCACTCCACCCCCAAAAGCGATCCGCCCACTAGTTTAGTTGGTGATTTGGACGAGCGCGGTTGCGCTGAAGCAGCGGCACAACTGGAGCAACTCGATTGGACCGTGGTTTGGCATGCTGCCACCAAACACATTGCGGTGAACTCGTTCATACGTCCGATTTCTGAGCTCTCACCTTGCTCTGTTCATGAGTGTGAAAAAGAACCAAAAAAAGGGGTCCCGTTTTGCGTTTCTTGACGGATTTCTCAGCTTTTTTCGCCACTGCGTGCCATTGAGCACCATCACGTCTCCTTTGAACCCTTCTCGAATCTATCGTAATCGCTGCCTTTAAGTTGGTTGTTTGATATTAATGTTGCCATGGAGTTAACGTGAGTTAATGTGTCGGGCAGCGCTTTAGACCTGTTAGGAAGACCATGACTTTTACCGAGCTGCTCACGACACGTCAACTCTGAGCAAAGGGAGGTTTACTGCCGTCTCAGCCGATTGAGATGAGATGTCTATGCAAAAAAAGCTCAAGAGAGATGGACAGCTCAGTCGGGCAGCTCAGCCCACCTCGAGCTGCTAGTTTGGCTACTGTATTGATAATGAGTAGTTTAGTAGAACTCATTTCATTACTGCAACCCTATGGACCATAAAATGCAAACTGCAAACACATGGTGTTTCAGATTCGTACTGATGATATCAAAGCAAGTTTGAAAGACGCTCCGAATGCCAAGTACTACTACCCGCCCAAAGTTATGGTACCGCTACCGTCATGCTTCTACAATCCATCAGGTACCGTGAGTTTGAAATATTTCACCTAAGTTTCAGTTAGACACATGCCGCGATGTGTATGCACAGTACTTTTGGGAAGAGAAATGAAGGGCTAATTTGCAAAGCGATGAGGAGCTCGCAAGGTTGAAAAAAGTCAAATTTCAGAAACTTCTAAGCCCCATTTGCAGTTGATAATAGGTTATGAAACAGATCGAAGCTATAAGCACAGAAGTGGGATCTTGTGAGATTATTAAAGGCAGCGATTACGATAAAGAGGGAGCGCATCGGGGAAGCATATGCACCACACGAAGCAGTTACTTGGGCCAAGGAAGCGAGGTGTGGCGCTTTCACAACGAAAGGTGCGCTGGTTGCTGAGCAGGACTTCGAAAGCGCTCCGCCCCCAAAAGCGATCCGCCCACAGTTACTTGTTGATTTGGACGAGCTGCGTGGCCAGCAGCGGCGCAAATGGAGCATCTCGATTAAAGCGTGATTTGGCAATGGTGCCATCAAACGCGTTGCGGTGAACTCGTTCACTTCTGAGCTGCTACCTGTTGATGTTGATGAGTGAAAAGCAACGGCCAAAAAAGGGGATCCCGTTTTAGTTGCGGTCATCTCGAACGATTTCTCCGCTTTTTTCGCCACTGGCGTAGCCACTGTGCCACTCAACCACTTTACCATATAGGCCCTTCTTGATTTTTTTGTAACCGCTGCCTTTAACCTACAAATCGACCACGAGAAACGACGCTAGTTCTGGGAGTTCTCACATTGACCGAACAGTTTTGCAAGGCTACATAGCATTTGAAAGTAAGGCATCCTCCACCTTTTATCAGCCAAGAAATAGAAATACCCCATAAAGGGCTACTGCATACATCATTTCCTTCTTCCCTTTATTTCCATTTTCTTTTTCCCCCAAAGATCAATTGAATAGCTTTGAACACTTGAAAAGCGGAAAAAAATTAGTTAATCAAATGTTGTTTTTTTTTGGTATCGGTACAATACGGCTCTAACGTATCCATGGTTAGGTGACAGTGTCTAACGCTTGTAGTCGCATATTGGGTTGTGCATACTGACGCATATGAGACTTGTTCAGTATGGAAAGGCTGGGAACGCGTCGCCTAAAAATTCGGACTATCAAGCTTTTGACCAGGGGACCGTCGAATAAAACTGAATGTGTTTGGAGGCGAGCGGTAAGCTGTGTACATGTCGTAAATGAAGAATTGGGAAACCGTCAACAAGTACGAAAAAGTCCTCCTATACCGTAGCGGCGGTGCAGTAAAGCACGCTGATCCGAGGTTGGAGTCAGTTCTGTTGGGCGGGGTCAAATGCAACATTTTAGGGCCTTAGCGCCTCGGCTTTTTTAAATCATCCTGATAATTGTGTGCATGATCCCCGCTTGCATTGCGCTGCATTTTCTCGAGTTAAGGCTGGATTTCCTTAATTCCCGGAAGTGAAACCACAAGTGGGTGTAGTAAATTTTGTTGTAAATATATGTAAGTTAAGTAACATTGAAAATATTTAGCCAGTTTACTTCAGGATACGTCTGCTGCAATCTGCAACTGAACAATCTTATTGAGGATACGTTCGAAACGGTAAAGAACGTGCAAGGCTACAGCGCATGTAATATCGCACGAATGGCCAACATCATTCAGGTACTCCAAAGACTGAGATTACGGTGGCTCAAATCATAAATAAATAACCTAACAAACGTTATGCTTAAAGTGGTTGTAGGGCGGGGTTAGTGCAGTGACAAGTGGCGCTACTCTCCTCGAGTAGGATTCACGTGACAAATCCCGGATTGAATTTCGCCCAAATCTAGCAAGCCTCCCTATTTCGAAGTCCTGAAATGGTCGCAGATTCGAATCTGGGTTGAAAAGACCGGTTAGTACCTTTGCCGGCCCCTGATTGTTTTTAGTGCTTGTGATCCTCAAGAGTAGTCGTCGGGTTAGCCAGTAAAAAAAGCTCAAATATCGAAGAAGGAAGGACTTCGAATGTCAACCTTACCCACATATTCAGCCTCTCATGTACCATGCCCTGCCCAACTTTTTTTCATGTTGTAAAAACCTTGTGGGTTGTTTTTTCATCAGACCATCTGGTTCGAAATCAACCATTCCAGTCGGGCTTTTGACTTTCACAAACTCCACTTTTCGGCTATGTTCGTTATGGTGTATCATTTTTGAGAAGCTACAGTATTGTAACATCTTAAAATAAAAAACTTCGGAATCTTATTTCAGCAAAAAAGCGAGGAGATGTTTGGCCATCCTTTCGAGAGTGTTGTCGCTTTGTCGGATTTCGCCCAAAATGTTCACTTTGCTGGCGATTTGGTTTGTAAAGTGGAGATCGACGGCAAGTGAGTTTCAAAAAATGTCTTGACAGTATTTGAGAGCTCTAGTTGGCTTCGTTCTAGCGTGCAAAGTGTTGTGAAAAACCTCTTCAACAATGGAGATATTGAGCTCGCATTGAGCATTTGGGGAGGGAGGAGGTGCCGATGGAAGCGAGGAAAAGAGAGGAGGGGGTCGATCACAAGGATAGAAGATTGTGAGAACAAGAATGATGAGAAGAAGAATAGCAGGTGCTAAAAATTGGCGTCGAACACGACGCTACAGGGTGGAGGAGTTTGTGATGTAGGCTGACCACAGACGTGCGAAAAGCTGGGGACAACAGGCGGGCCGAACATCCACTCATGTCACCTCTGGAAAAGGGGATTACAAAAACTGAGGTGATTGGCTGGCGTGAGGAGAGGTAGTGCGAGACCGAAGGCAGGCGTAGGACCCTTTCCTAAGCCAGTTCCGGACCAGGCCTTACATCCTCCCTGATTTACAGGAGTGGCCCAAAAAAGAGACACTCACTCAACATCAAATCGGCATCAATCACCTTTTGGTAAATTCAAACCAAATGCTCTCAAGTGAGAAGTGAAGAGCACATGCCATTTCATAAAGAATCGCCACATGAGCCCTCTCTACACCGACGACACCAGAAAA